ATGAATGCACAAATTTATTTTAGTATGATCTTTCCAATGACGAAGCAGGCATACAAAAAACATACATACATACATACATACATACATACATACATACATACATACATACATACATACATACATACATACATACATACATACATACATACATACATACATACATACATACATACATACATACATACATACATACATACATATACACATATAGACATATATATGTATGTATGTATGTTGGGGACATAATTGCTAAACAGCGTGCACCCATCGCGTTCTTCTAGTTAGTATTGATTTTGCTTGCAAGCCGGATTGCACAGTGCCTCAATTCTTTTAAGCGTGCAGAAAACTGTATACGTGTCTTAGTGTATATATGTATGTATGTATATATATATATATAAAGAGAGAGAAAGAGAGAGAGAGAGAGAGAGAGAGAGAGAGAGAGTGGGGGAGAGAAAGATGAAAGATAAATGTAAATCTGCCTCCATATTTATATATAGAGGAGATGTCATTAATAACAATAATGCCATTTGAGCAGCACCCTACGTCTATACATTTTTCTGTTCAACTTTCCATTTATTTTTATTAAATCTGATAATTCATTCACTATGCATACGTTCGTTCATCCATTCATCATTCATTCATTTTTTCATTCGTTTATCAATTTCTCCATCCATCCATTCATCCATCTTCCTATCCATCCATCAATGCATTAATTCACTGATTCAACATAAAATCACGAATGTTGAGCGCTGAAATTTTTTTTGGACGTTTCAATTTGGCCAATCTATTCAAAACATCTTTTCGATGTGCAAGCTGTATGTATGCGTGTATGCTTGTGTATGTATGTGTGTGCCACTGTGTATGTGTGTGTCAGTTTCTATATGTGTGTGTCAAACGTATAACTTTCTTGGTAGGTGCGTGTGCATTGTGTATGTAAGTGTGCGTATTTCCACTTGTTTTTTCTGCGTCGTAGGTTTACATCAACGCTCTGTGGCTGAAGGTGATCATAGAAATGATGAAAATGATGTTTGTTCGAATGATGGTAGATAGCTGGAGATGGAAATGATAATGTTGTTGATAATGATGATGACTATGATGATGATGATGACGATGTCTTTGTCATTATGACCACCATGATGACGATGGTGATAATAATGTAAGGATTGATGGTGCTGGTTGTCTAACAAGTGAACTCTTGTAATGCACCAATATTTTTTTGCTTAGTTTATTTTAATGCACACACGCACACACACACACACACACACACACACTGAAAAATATATATATAAATATACACATACGTGTGTTTGTTTATTTGTTTGTGCGTGTGCGTGCATGTTTGTTTGTTTGTTGTGTGTGTGTTTGGCATGTTTGTTTGTGTTTGGCATGTTGTGTCGGCGCATAAATATGTTTGCCCTGCTGATTGTTCGGACTACGGCGATGAAATGAAATTTAATGTCCGAAACTGACCATTTGTGCCTCTTAAGGATTATAAAGATGGTGGTGATGAAGAAGATGACGAGAATGATGACGAGAATGATGATGATGACGAGAATGATGATGATGATGCTTGTAGTGAAATGATGAGAAAGATGGCGGTGCTCCTGGTAATTGTTGCAAAATTTGATGATTTTTATGATGGTGCTAATAGCAAATGAGCACGATTGTGAAAAAATATAATGATAATGATGATAATTCTGGAGATATAACATGATATATTATTTCATATATCATGTCACAGATATCATCTTAGTTTTTATAACAAAGATTGTTGTCATCATCATTTTCGTCATCATCATCATCATCACTCTGACGTCACGATCTATTTTTAGACATCACAGTGGAAAACGTCAATATTAAGTTCTGGGTTCTTTTAGCGTGACGTAGCCTGCATTATCACGTGACTTTGCATAATGACGTTGGAAATGACGATGACGTTGACAATGACTAAAATGAGAATGTGATAACGATTATATGATAATTTAATGCGTAGTTCTCTAACCTTGTTCAAACTTTTCAAATATGCCAGTTCAATTTTAAATGAACTATTTTCTTACATTTGTCTATGATATCACGGAACGAAGACCGATTGACTCTTTTGTTTATTTTACTCACTCACTCACTCGCAACTCACTCACTCATTCACTCTTTCATCACCACAGATTGGCACAAGGCTG